CACTACCGCTCCCCACACACACACGCGCGCGTCCATAGGTACACATACACGCGCTTGCTGCAGACACACAACTTTCCGGGTGCGTACGGCAGTAAACAACTGAAATAATAAAACAATGTTGCGTGAAGAACGCCTTAAACCAGCAACACATTTGTATTTCACTTTACCCGCGGAGGGTTGTGGTGGGGTGCGTGACATCATCAGACACACTGCGTGACGCTTCCGCACACGGGTCACATGACAGATGTGACGTCACAGCTCACTTGCCGTGCAAAATAGATGCATTATTGCGCCCCCCCCCAAAAAAAATATATATACAAAAGTGTATTTTTATAATTTTAGCATGGTGTACAGTCTGGAAAGTACCCACATGGCAAATTTCAAGTTTGTTGCATGTCGGGAAGTACGCTAAACATTTCGAACAGACACACATATTCACCAATTTCCCTTTTATATATGTATAGATTATTCTAATACAAGGGGCATTACACTCAGCACCGAGCCATAACCTCACAGCCCCATGCCGACAACACATGGCAAGCCCTGGTGGTCACAACCCACCCAAGTACCAACCAGGATTACAACTGCTTAGCTTATTCGCCTCAGAAATTCGACAATTTCAGACGTGGGAGAGCTTCATCGAGAAGCAAATTGAACCATGGCTGATGATGATGATCATCATCTGTGAAAAAGAGCGTTATAGCTCATCGGATTCCTCCAGTATAAATACATATTCTGATCCTACTTCTGGCAAACGAATGATAATTATTTCAGAGACACTGTGCTAGTACTGTTGCGATCTTGTACTTTATCCTGGGCTTAAACCTAAAACAAACACATATTTATATTAAAAGGTAAGGCCCACTGAGCTATGCAGCTCTTTTTTTCAGAGGCGACCAGGTCACAAATGCGAGCTCGACGAAGCGGCTTATCACGTGGAAATTGATAGGAGCCAAATACTCTAAACGCACGTTGCTAAATGTGGAGAGGAAAACCTGAGAAGCCGAATAAAAGTTCACGTGACCACAAGGGAGAGTTCCATGCAAACTCCAAATATACAGGCGCCAGGGTCGGGATCGAACCCACGACCTCTTCCATCCGCAGCTGAGGTCAGTTAACGTCTCGCCACCGCGATGCCTTTGCATAGCGAGATTATGATGAAGACAATGAGGGTTCGAGTCCTCGTTGGACACAGAATCGGCATCTTTATTTGTACTGGAGGAAACCGATGAGCTTTAAAGCTCTTTTTCGAGGTAAGACTCACGTTGGTTATGAGAGAATGGGGAGAGCATTTACTGTCTCTTATTATTTCTGCCGTGTCTTCTTTTGCAGTACATTTTTCACTTTATTTTATTTGGGTCACAGCATTAGTGCTTCACAGTATTCAACTCTCGCGAATCTTGGCGCCACAGAGCCATTAGTGTTCATCTTACGGCCAACAGAAAGCTTGGCTCAATAAATACATTCATTTTGATTTAAAGCTTTCGTGATTGCAGGGATTCATATTCTTGGTTCTTTCTGTAAAGTCACGTAGAAGGGAAACAATCAAATAATACAAATATAAAACAATAAAATTCTCACGACGTTTCGACTGCAACACAAGCAGTCGAAACGTCGTGAGAATTTTATTGTTTTATTATTTTATTGTTTCCCTTCTACGTGACTTTACTCGAAAGAACCAAGAATATAAATACATTTGTTGCAATACTTTGTGATACTATTCATAATAAAGAATTAATGTAATCATATTCACCCAACGTAACCCCGTCGTAAGGCATGTTTTTATGAGGAGCCTAATTTGAAATTCAAGCCAATTCCCATGATTGTCATAATAGTTATTTTCATTAGCATCATCACCATGATCATCATCATTATCATGGGCAGCGATAGCTGCAACAACATTACGAGCAACGAGCACCAATACTACCACCAACAGTACCCGAGCCGTTATCACTACCACCACCATTAACATCACCAGTATCAGCAGCATTATCTCCAGCATCACAACCAACACCATTAATACCACCATAATTCTCATCATCCCCGACATCACCATAATCACCGACATCATCATCATGATCATCATCATTATCACATGAATTAGTTGACATTACAGAAGTCACCAATGGTTGGCTCTATGTGCCCTGGTATCACGACGTGAAAACACAGCAATGTAACGGGAATAGGAACGTTCGCCTCCCCTTCCTCGGCAACACGAGGCAGTGCGGATCCGGTGAAGTGAAGAGCTTCCACGGATTTCCGCTCTGTACCCGTGGAAGGAGCTCCGTTCTCTCTCGTCTTGCCGAGCAAAAGCAGACGGAGCAGTGACCTAAATAGACACTTGCAAACACCGAGTGGCTCCCGGATCATCACCAACCTATAACTCACTTAATCATCATTGCCCCAATAGCGCTGCATTACCAGAATCCTGACAACACTGTCATCATCATCATCCTGGGAACCTGCATCACCATCCTTCTCCTCTTTACTTTTCATCCTTGCCCTCCTCACCTTTATCGTCATCATCATCAGTCTCATAAGAATCGCATCACCTTGTGTTGGAGAGCAATCTCTAGAAGACAATATGACATGGTCTCTTCAATTGCCTCTTATTCGCACTAGGTGGTACACCGTCACGTGTCCTGCGATAGAGGTGGCTGTCAGATGTGTACAATATATAACTACAAATCTTGGTAAAGCTGGAATTTAACCAAATTAAATGAAAGCATTTTAACAGTTTTTTTTATGTGTGCGCAGTCATTAGTGACCATGCTGAGTCTATAAACCCACTCCACTTTAATCACGAGTGGACGAGACTCAGATTCAAACTCTGCATCTCGGCGGTTGGCGTGGGCTTATTTGCAACCTCCGACACGGCCATGACCGAGCCTCACGAGGCACCCGTCTAGATGTTTGTGTCGTGCTCGCTGTTGGCGACCCTACGTGCAAAAATCATCCGCGCACGAGCTTGGGAGCCAGCCACAGTACTTTCGCCGTGCAGCAGGAGCTAAGCGATCCCATTGACTGCGGTGACCGTTGAGGAATCCCAGGCCCTCTTCTCGCGGACGCCGTTCCAAGCGGCGCAGGGCCACTCCTGCGCGTAATTATCATCCGAGCCGTGTTGTTAGCCACAAGGATTGCCACCTGTTCTGGTTTTCCCAGGATCGTTCTTCTCTTTGAGGTCGCTCTCCTGGGATATCTGTAAATTGTCCAGGGAGATTAAAAGTACCCGTCTTTTTTATCAGCTGCGTGGTAATAAAAATGATATACCACTCAAGATAATGCATTTGCACGTTGTTCTCCCCTCGTCCGGTATTGTGAGATATTATTCTTGTTATATGTCTCAGGGTTTCTGTGCTTCACAGGTGGCAACCCTGCCAGGGCAAGTGGTGGCGGGGAGAAGAGTGTTTTGACCCCATAGAATTTTGATGCCAGGGTCACGATACTACATATCATTTGTGCCTTGGCGTACGAATTCTACTGCATAGATATTTTCACGAGCCCTCTCACAATACAAATGAGCATTGACGCTGTGGACTGTTTAAAATCTTCGAGCGATATTGTTTAATAACATCTGCAACAACTGTCTTGGGGACAAAAATAGAATCGACTGTCGTGCTGATGTCATATGAGGGGTCACAACACAGCAAAGAGGCATCACAGCAACTGTCACAAATAGTGTCGACAACATTCATGTGTAGATATTATCATCGGCATCACCAGTAGCAGCATGATCATCATCATCATCAAAATCGGCATCATTGTCATCAGCATCAGTGGTATAGCATGATTGGCATGGACCCTGGTGTCAGGAATTAAATGGGGGGTGGGGGGGGGACTCTCCAATTCACCCTTCGTCTTCATAGCTTGACGTCTGGGCCTCTCGGGTCCTTGTTGGGCCCCAAAACAACCCTGCACACTCGATGGCTACACCACAGATCAGCTTCGTCAGCATCATCATCATCATCATAAACCTCGCACTCATCGTCATTGAAACTCGTATCGTTCAAGGTGTCCGCGTAAGTTCGTACAAGATGGTGCACTTTGTCGTGCTTTAAGGAATAAATATTAACTGTGCTGTATATGTGTTTACAGGTATATAAAAAATCCCTGCTACCGGAGTGGAACACTCGCGCCCGGCGTTTCATTGCCGCCGTTGCGAATCGTACAAACACGCAACAAAATCGTACAGTCGGTAAAAGGCTGCAAGTAAAAAGTGCATATTTACCCTATGGTTGAAAAGAAAAAATATTTGTTACAAATCCAACCACACACAAAAAAACCCCGATCATCGCTTGATATAAAAACAACAAGTGCATAAACATCGAGGTGCATACTTATCCCGACCCGCGATTGTGATGTTGAGATTCACCGAAAGTTTCGGAGTTAAATATTGGTGACCGGGGGTTGGTGGGTCATACCGAGATCAGTATATGTGTGAGAGGCGCACGTCGCGAGGCTACGAGGTGGTCAGTGGAAGGTAGTATAGCAAGTACGCTGCCAAACTATCCGTGCGGGATTGTGGGTGCTATCTGCCCATATATGAGGCATGGGTTTAGTCCGGGAACTTTAAAGGTTTCCAGTAAAGATTAGTCTAAATATCCCCATGTGGCAGGGCCCTCCTGAAAATGAGTCTTTAGACTCAGTGAAGCTTTGCTGAATAGAAAATGGACATTGCACTGTCATTATTATTGCTTCTGCTGATGCATTGTGATCGCTGTTGTTGTTGGAAGTAGCATGTGAGGTGCGAGGAAGTGTGGGATGACGCACACGCCACCCCGGAGGGAATAATGTGCACCGCTGGTGCCTGCGTCAGCAGACAACAGCAGGTGTCCCAACACTGGTTGTGGCCATGTGTGGTAGTAGTGGTGGTTGTGTAGGTGGGTGTGGAGCGGTTGCGCAGCGATTAGCGCGCTGCGCTCTGAACGCGGTGACCTGAGTTTGATTCCCGCTCACGGCCAAAACCATTGACGAACATCTGAACTGATTCTGGGCCTCCCCTAGGTCGACTCAGCCTGAAATGAGTACCTGATACAGTTTCTAAACATCAGCACTGGGAAGGCAAAGGGGGTCGGGCATCGTGCTGGCCACCCACCCCCTTCGTGTGCCAGCTTTAGTAAGTGCACATTACCAGGACTTTCCCCAACAGTCTGCGAAGGCTATACGGGGAATATTTCTCTTTGTGCGTATACACATTACTGTAGTTGCACGTGTGCAATGATTAATCGAGAAAGCAGGTGTGCACTACCAGGCGCAGGTCAGATATCACTGATGTTAGCCGTGAGCAGGAATCCAACTCGGGTGACCAGGTTCGTAGCGCAGCGCAAGGTCGCCAGCCATTGGGCTACCGCTCCACAGCGTCGAGCAGCGTGCGTGGTGGCATTGGCTGCGCATGTCCGTGATTGTTTTGAGCATGACGTTACCGATTGCTCAATTGTTTAGAAGGAACATTGCGTAAGCAATTATTTTCCATACGGTCGTGTAATCTGATTGCATCGTTACTGTCATGATTACCTTAGGTCGTTGCTCGACTGGGGGCCAGCTGTGTTGTGCTCTGTGTGCCGCTCTACCTCACATTGACCTGAGCTACTGACTCCAGAATTTCCCCATCGTCATCACCGTCCTTGTTCGTGAATCGTTATCGATAACAAAAAAACAACGGACGTAATGATAGAGAGTAATCAGCTCGTACATGGTAAGCATCGGTAATCTGATCACATACTGAAACAAACTAAGTTACAATAAATAATCTGGTGGTGCTGAAACTGCACTGTCAGTGATGCACAAGCAGAAGCAAAACTAAATATATACGATAAACAATTTGAGAAATGAACCCGTGCTTATGCAGAAGGGCCATTGTCAGAAACGTCGCCTATTGTAATTTGGGCCATTGTTATTGACGAATGTGGTGAGTTTTTAAGCAATAATGAAGGTTTATCGATACCCAACAATCATTGTTCGGGGTGTAACACTGCTATCGATGCATCGGTCAGTATTGATTGTTAAGCTCGCAACATATGTATGGAATTCCGTGTGTAAGAACCAACGCTTCTTGAGTCATTCATCTTGTATGCAATTGGGTCACGTCAACCCTGCAGCCACTAGAGGCGCTGCCATTCACAGCTGTGTCAAGGATGTTCCTTAAATCGCTACGAGGGGGGTTAGGAAGACATGTTAACAAGCCCCTGTCACGGGAATGTGGAATTTCAGCTTACTGGATTGATCTGGACCACCAACAGATATAAGGAGTGCCCGAATTGCCCGTTAAAGTCGAGAGACTCGTTCGCCAGAAGTTGGTGACACCTGCCCGGTAATCTGATCTCACGGCGACACCGCACCTGTCCGACGTCAGCCCCGAAACACCGCTCCGGTGCCAGCCACGTAGCAATGCACATCCCCAGCCATTCGACTCATTGTCACGACTCCATTTCACAAATCAATTCGTGAATTCTTCCTTTTTCATCTCGCTTTTACTGCCTCACTTTTTCTGTTTGCCGTTTGTTCCCGTCTGTGTTTTTTCGTACAGTTTTTTTTTGCTCAATTACCCTACGTATTTAATTTGCATATTACTTGCATACATCATAAATAATAGATTCTCACTCGCGTGGCTCAAAGCGTGCATCACAAGCGCGAGAATCTATTCTCGTCAACCAATCGGTGACGCACAATCCCCTTACATCCCTTCGTCGCTGGCGTGCCCGGCGCTGTGCGTGCCGTTCTTCAATATGCCGTGATGCACCACGCCGCACTCGTCGTTATTGCCCCCGCCTCCGTCGTCGTCGCCGTCCCCGCCGTCCTCCGCCGCCGCCGCGTTGAGGCTGTTGGCCTCCTCGGCGCCGTCGCCCACCAGCAGCACGCCGGGGGCGACGCGCGGCGGGCCCTTGCACGGGTTGTGGTCGTACGAGATGACCTTGAGGCGCGTGAGCCGCTCCAAGCTGGGGAACTCCGAGATGCGGTTGCGGTCCACGTCGATGATCTCCAGCAGCTCCATGTGCAGCAGCACGTCGGGAAACTCCTCGAAGCGGTTGCCGTAGAGCCAGAGGCCCCTCAGGCTCGCCAGCCGGCGCAGCTCCCGAGGCAGCGCCTTCAGCCGGTTGTCGCCCACCTGCAGCGACCGAAGCTGCGGCAGTTCCCAGAGTACCGGCGGCAAGTGGCGCAGGTAGTTCCCCTCCAGCCACAGCGCCTTGAGGTTGACGAGGCTGCGCATCTCGTCCGGCAGGTCCTGCAGGAGGTTGCTGCCCAGGTAGAGGCGGCACAATTCGGTGAGGCGGCACAGCACCGGCGGGAACTCCTCGAACTTGTTGAAGTCGAGCGCGAGGATGCGCAGCGAGCTGAGGAAGCCGAACTCCTCGGGCAGCTCGCGGAGGCGGTTGTTGCTCAGGTAGAGCTTCACGATGTGGCCCAGAGCGCAGAGCTGCGGCGGCGCGCGCCGGATCTTGCGCCCGCTCATGTCGAGCATGAGGTCCGAGGTGATGTCCTCCTCGTCCACGGAGGCGTAGCGCTGGCCACCGCCGCACGCCAGCGAAGACGCCTTGCGCACCGCGCCGCCCATCGCCGTCATGGCCGGGGGCCGAGCGCGTGCGCAGCTCACCCCGGCGGCACACGGGCGAGCTGTGCACGGGATGACAGAGAAGCGGACGGAAAACGTAGAGGTAATAAAGTTGGCCCTGACTCCAAACTCCCAAAGCAGCGGTGCCTCGTGAGGTTGAGCAGTAAAAGTGAAAAGAGCATTTGTCACTCCAGGTCCTGTAAGTTCATCTGCTTTACTAGTTCCACGCTTCAGAGCCCTTGCAAGGGTCTCAATGTGTCTCAAACTCCCTATGATATTACCCAAGAGGAGGATAAACACCAGATTAGGAAGTGGTTCTGTCCACCACGATGCTCCACATGCATCGGAAAGTAGTGTTGCAAAGCTACAGACATTTCAGAGTTTTGTCTTGCTTAATATGTTGTACAGCTTTTTTGTATTAACCGCACGAAGCTCTGTTATTGTTGTAACCCTTGAAAAAGAGACCTCGTTCTCAATCGGCTATCATCACAATGAGCCACGGTCTATCCGCTGCTGGATGAAGACCTCTCCAAGCTATCCCCAAGGTCGTGATAGAATCTTGTCGTGTTCGTGCTGTTGGCATTAGGCCCCGTCCCCGGGGCTGACTGGCAGGTGTGCTTAGGGTTAAAGACAGGGCGAGTGTCCGGTTGGCTACCGTATATGACAGGCAGTCAGGCAGATAGGGCAATGAGACACGTAGCCAGGTAGGTAAAAAGGTATGCAGAATTACGTAACATTTAAGGTGGGGAGGGGGGGGTATTCCTTATTGAAGCTAGCCAAATCGAGCCACGAGGCATCAGGTTCTCTAGAGACTAGTTGTCATGGTTGCACCGGGCACATGTTTACTGCGGTACAGTGCCATGTTAATGGAGGGAGTTGACTGCGGGCCTGCTGCATGCAGCCCGCACACCATGGGGACACAATGGCCAACCCTGCCACGTGATCGCGTGCGTCGCACACCACGGGGACACAGTGGCCAACCCTGCCACGTGATCGCGTCCGTCGCACCCACGGGGACACAGTGGCCAACCCTGCCACGTGATCGTGTCCGTCGCACCCACGGGGACACAGTGGCCAACCCTGCCACGTGATCGCGTCCGTCGCACCCACGGGGACACAATGGCCAACCCTGCCACGTGATCGCGTCCGTCGCACCCACGGGGACACAATGGCCAACCCTGCCACGTGATCGCGTGCGTCGCACACCACGGGGACACAGTGGCCAACCCTGCCACGTGATCGCGTCCGTCGCACCCACGGGGACACAGTGGCCAACGCTGCCACGTGATCGCGTCCGTCTCAGACCGACCCCCCCTCCCTCCCCATCAACAGAGGACAACGGGGGCACGCTAATTCGGGGGTTAAACGCCGAATGTCTCTCAAATTCCGTGGCCTATGCAAGGACATGCCATTCGTTGTGCGCGGTTGCAATTTACTTTGCTCAGCGGGCGTGGCGGGTTTCTGCATTCATTCCTGTTGCTCCGTGTCCCCTGCACCGTTCCCGTTCCGCTGTTAATGTGCACCGAGGCCGACGTTTATTAAGGGCGATATTGGCACATACAATAAAGATTGATGAATTGAATGACCAGTCTGGGGATGGAAACGGTGCATCTGTTGAGAATCGTGCTTGTCTTTTGTATCATGTATGCTTGAACCGCACGTCTGACTGGCGCGGTGAAGTATGGTCAAACAATGCCCATGTGTGACGCGGCGTGGCAGGCCCTTATCCAGAAATGGATTGGCAAAGAGCTGACAATATGTTTAACGTTATTATACCACGCTGAGTTATCCCTCCAGCACCCGACGAGATTGTCGCATTTACAAGCATGCTATTTATACGTGCCCAATGTATTGATAGACTTCTGACCAATAAATTGGGCGGTTTAAGACTTTTCACGACTGGATGAAACGCAAACGTACGGCGGTGCACGGGTGAGCCGTGGGATGGCAGAGAAGTGGACGGAAAACGGGAAATGAAAAGGGGGCCCAAACCCCAGACCAGTGGTGCCTGGTGAGGTTGAACAGAAAAAGTGAAAAGAGGTCCAGTTATGTATGTGTAACTTCTTTCGCGCCGTACGTAGCCGACAGTGCTAATCGGAGGTGCGGGAAAGTTAATCTGCATTACTCGTTGTCACATTTTCAAAATATATATGTAAGATTTATACGTGGCCAATGTATTGATCAGATTTTGACCAATACATCGGTGGCTTAAGACTTTTCATGATCGCATTAAACACCAACATGGCGACGTTTCGCTGAAAATGCTTTGAGCTTTTTCAGGTAGCGCACCCAGGAATGTTGGCATTACACTGCAGTATGTACTGTACGGTGTTAGGTGGCCTAAACCCCAAACAAACACGCGTCATCTCATCATATTGACTGGGCAAAATATATTTTTCAGCTAATTGTCCCTACCATGAGAATGTGAAATTTCCACAACTGGCTCCCAAATAAGAACACGACCGTCCGGCCAACGTTGGTATGCAGCTGGAAACGTTGGACCAATGTTGGTCCAACGTTCCATATTTACTGGGTACGTGCTGTAAACTCCCCCTAACGCTAATGTAGTACTCTGACCACGAGACCGCTAACGTGCTTTATTGCAAACGACTTAAGTCATCAAGATATACTTTATTAAAAAATAACATGTTAAATTGATTTCAACATATACATATATAGATACCTAATAATAATAGCAAGGACATTGTCGTTACTGAGTCTCAATGCTCTTATTCAGGAGGGTCTTCCTACAGTGGGATATTGCGCCAATTTCATTTTTCTTAATCAAAATAAGTTTTATTTTGTTCTGGCATGGAATGACGAACCAAAATGTGTCGTCAATACCATCCACCACCATCCGACACAGCCAAACAAATTACAATGTCACGTCGCGTACAATCGTTTAACAATGTGCCAATTAATAATAGGGTTTTTCCCCTTTTTTCTGGCAACAAAACTGAAACCTTTTTACAAGGATTCATGTCTGCATTAACCACAATACCTGCAGTCTAAATGCAAAAAAAATACTATGATAATATTGCATTGTCCTTGAAACTGATTGGTCCACACCAAGGGACGGCTTTCTTTTGAGCCTCGACCCAATTGGTGCTCGACCAGATGACGCCAAAAGCACAAAATGTGCCAATTATTTATTGTTTCAGCTCACTCGCAGTAAGTTGGAATAAACATTCTCACAAACAGATTTAGCAATTTGATGCGCAGCGTTTCATTTGACACTTTGTCAAACATCAGCACAAGATGTAGTAAGACAGAATTTAAAAATATACACGTCGAAGGAGTCCAAATAACTGAAGTTTCAAACTATAAATGTTTAGTTTCACGTCGGTGGAGGAATCCGGATAACCCGAAGAAACCCCACCACGTGCGAAGGGAGAACACGTTTTAAAGGACCGCTTTTACAGCTCCGTTAGCGAACCCACTTGCCGCGTGATCCACCAACCCTTGACTCCAAAGCCCCAAGGTGCACAAATACACTCACATCGCAAACATTCTCCCCATGCTGGAACTACTGTATTATAAAAGGCGTTAATTAAAACCAATATGAACACTACTTTTCACATGAAAACACAACAGGTCTTGAATTTAACAGCTACGATATGTTAAAAAGAAAACATTTCTCGCACGCCTCTGTAATGCAGTACAGCAAGTAGGTTACTAAACTATCCATGCACAATTTTTCAGTCGTTATCTCCTCGTACGGAGTGGGTATTCTCCGGTAACTCAAATTTACTGTTCATACTAATCTATACCTTGAGTTTCCTGGCTGGCTGCTGGCTGGGCTCCTCATCATCCCAACTGTAACTCTGTTGTTAGTTCCTGCGGGCCGTTGCCACCGAACCTAGCTGGGTAACTGGCTCGAAGGGATTTTCCGTGTAAAAAATATCGAGTTGCATTGAAACGGCGGAAAAAGTTCGGAAGACAACTATAACGGACAGCGACACCGAAGAGGTGGGAGTAACACATACAGAAGTCTGACCACGTTTCATTTCAAATGACTCGAACATTTCAACTTGTGCTCCGGTTAATATCATTCTTTCGCCAGAATATGCTTTAAATTCTCGAGAACATTATAAAATAACTTATAATGCATATTATCTTGGCAACGCGTTGCCTACAAGCTAGAGTAATATTATCAACAATTGTATACATAATGTGCGTTGGTTGGGCTTGTAAGAGTACCGCTTACCTTTGCAGAGGCTCTATCAATAAGTTATTATTGCCGCAGCAGTGGTGCGGCGGCTGCTGCTGATTGTGTTGACGTTGGTGATGATGTCCATAACTTCATCTCACCTCTGCAGGACTCTCAACCCCGTAAGCCTCTGTGACCGTAAGGCCTTCCTTAGTCAATCGAGTACGCAGGGGTCAGTTAAGTGTTTAATTACACACACATCCGCGCCAGTGCACACTTTTGGATTACCAAGTTAAACACACGGGCAGTAAGTCTGTCTACACGTGTGCGGGGTGTGTAACTGTGTACACGTGTGCGTATGTATATAGACAAGTCAACTAGACTCTATGATTTATCATTACGTTTCATTAACGCTTCTCAAAATGGGTGTTGTTTGAGACGCGTGTATGCTTAATACACGTGTTGTGCACGTGCTAATTTAGCAGATCGGTGTGCGTGTGTGTAATGCAGAGCGCGTTAACGTACCATGATCGTGTATGCAGGCTGTCTATTAATTAAAGAGTTCGCTCGCTCAGTCACGCGAATAGGTGCTCGCAAACAACACAGAGAGAGCCTTCCTGTCACTTGGACTCTGGCGCCCAGCCGCAGTGAGTGGCTGAGTGTGTGTGTGTGGAGAGAGAGTGCGGAGATTAGGAGTGGGGGGTGTGTGTGTGTATTGGGAGAGGAGGAGTGATGAGGAGGAGGAGGGGAGAATGTGTGTGAGTGTATGGGGGAAGGACGGCAGGAGGGGCACTTGTGCGTGGGGAGATGAGAGTTAGAGATGTGTGTGTGTGAGTTGAGGAAGGAGGGGAGTGTGTGTATGTATGGGGGAGAGGATGGGGCGGGGGGGGGTATGTTGAACTTCTTTCGCACCGTACGTGTATGTGGCTGTGTGACGTGTGCACGAGGAGAGGGAGGAAAGTGTGGGAATGAGCGAAGGGTGTCAACTGTGTGTGTGTGTGCGTTAGGTGCTCGCTAACAGCACTTGCCCCAACAGTCTGCTTCGACTATACGGGGGACCTGTGTCTTTGTTTATGTTTGGAGAATTATTTTTTTTTGGAGGGGGTTGGAGTGGGTGGTGCAGGGAGGAAAGCCGTGTGAGTGTGGGATGTTGTGGTGTCACTGGTGCCAGAGGGTATCTGTGTGAGTTGGAGGGTCGTGTGTGTGTGTGTGGGGGGAGCGGTGGTGTAGCGGTTCGATTTCAGCGCACGGTCAACATCGGCGACGATGATCTGAACCGGTCCTGGGCCTCCCCTAGGTCGACTCAGCGTCACAATGAGTGTGCGGTGTGTAGTAAACATCGCCACCGGGGAGACAAAGGCGGCCGTGTGCGTTGCTGGCCACCCACGCCCTCGTGGGTCGTGTCGGCCTTCAATGGTGCTACTCACTCACAGCGCTTACCCCAACAGTCTGCTGCACTGGCTACACGGGAGATCTTTGTTTTTGTATGAGTATGTACGTTGAACTTCTTTCGCACCGTACGTAGCCAACCGTGCTAATCGGAGTTTATAGAGTTATATGTACGGTATCTGTGTGTGTGGTGTATCTATATACATGGAGAGGTGTGTTTGTATATCGAGTAATGTATGTGCAGGATGTGAATGTGAGATGTTGTTGGGGCAGGATTAGGATAGTGTGTTGGAGAGGAAGAGAGATGATGTGCAATGGTCGATTATTAATCTTGCATCGATCTTGGGCCTCCCAAAAGTCGATTCACCCTCAAATGAGGACCTGGTGCAGTGTGTACATTTTGCCACTGGGGAGACAAAGGCGGCCGGGCGTGGTGCTGGCCACCCGCTAACAGCACTTGACCCAACAGTCTGTTACACAGGCTATACTGGGGGGGTCTCTTTGTGTCGTGTTCAGGGTGTGTATGCGACCCGGGTGTGTGTCGCTCTCTGCTGGTCAACCATGCCATGTACACTTACTACACGGATCAACTGGTCAATCTGTGCTCGGTCTGAAAGAGTTGCTGAGTTCAGCGGGACCCACAAGCAAATTGTAGATATTCGTCGACAGTGGATGTCTGGTGAGGTAGTCGTATGTGTTTGGGTGGAAACCTACGTAAAGCTTTCGTACATGTGACGGCGATGTGCTCTGTCGTTGCGCCGTGTGATACATCTGCGCATAGGGTTGTTGACAGTAACTCCCTTTAACACGTAGAGGTTTTTTTTTGGTTTAGATCTCGTAAATAGAAATGCGTCGTTAAACCCGCCACCACCCGACACAGCCAATTATCAAGGTTTGGCACGTGAACAAAACGTGCCGATTCGTTATTTGTACAGCGCACCGGTGTGTTGGAGAGTAAACCCACGGCATTTATAATTGGTGGTGGCGGGTTTAACGACACATTCATGAATGCGCAATCTAACCCAACAACCTCTATTGTGGAGTGACTCGCTTGTAGAGGCAAAGTCTGAGAGGGGCAGTAGAATAGACAGCACCGGTTTTAAATCGGGAGAAAATCCTGGACGACAGTTTTCATTTGAACTGCCATCTACACAGTTTCTATGTTGGAATAATTCACCAAGTCCGCATTTGATCTTTTTTGTTTACTAATTTGACAATGGTTATCACACTATTAGTGGTTGCTATAGTTTCCCGCATTATACTTTTTTAAATCACATTGACGATGGCAAGAATTGACCCAGTCTTGGAGGTGAAATTTGGCAGAGAAGATGCAAATCGAGATTAATGTTATTGTTGTTATTTAATGCTGGCTTTCATCCGCTTAAAAAAGAGTGTTAATCGGGCTTAATCTCTCACTGAATATTTTCCAGGTCGCTTGTTTGACTTGAGTAGGCACGTGACTCGTAGCCATAACCAATGCTTTCATAGATGTGGTGTGCCGGGTGTGGATTCTTCTTTCACGTCACCAACTTGGAGAGACCCTGGCTGAAATTAAGCCCTGGATTTGGATAAGTTGACTGAATTTATTGATGCCTTTTAATCAGATGAATACCCCGAAAATATGTATGGTTTCTATTCAGTGTTTATCTAATAACCTTGTTCATCTATCGCTGTTGTCAACTCAGCATGTAATTTCTCCACCCTGCAATGGAATAGACTACGCCTTAAGGAGAAGTCTACAGTGGTTGTTTTATGGTTAAACCAATCCCTGTCACCGATATGTGGAATGTCCATCACTGCCAATGCAAATGAGCACCATGATGTCTGTGTACAGACTTGTACACTGAAAGCCATGTGTTTTATTGAGTAAACAGAGCTGGTGGTGAAAGCTTTTATGCACCATCCATGCCACTTGTTTTTTGGGGTCGTGTACGTTACGAGGTGTCGAGTGATGTCTGATTATTTGTTCTTGAGCGCTTTTATCCCGCTCTGTTTGCTTTAAACCGTAGACCAGCGGAGCCCGTGATAGAAACGGGGGGTAGGTCGTGGCATTATCCTGATGTAGAAGGTTGGTGCTGGATACAGCCACATTTGCAAATGTGATTCGTAACTTTGATCCTTACCTGCGTATCCATAGTTGAATTTTAATGTGCCATTTTATTGAGGTACCGTGTGATGTGTTGTTGTGGTCTGGGACTGTTTTGTGGTTGTTTTGCTGCCTTGCTCAAGCTTGCATAAAGTGTATAAAATCGGACTCATAACGTTTTTTTAAATTCATTTTCATCAATATTTAGGGACTTGCTTAACTTTGTCTCTATTATGCACTTCTATGTTTTTTGTATTGTTTATTGTTGTAACTTGCTGACCCGCCCCTGCTGGACATGTGTGAAAAAGAGCTTCATAGCTCATTTGATTCCTCCAGTCGAAATGAAGATTCTTAATTCGGTTCCACGCGGGAGAGGGGAGCTGAGCCCCTATGGGGTGGCCTCCCCACGCACTGGAGACAAGGGCACGCATCCTCCCGGGACCCCCAAGGTGGCGTGATGGGACCTGGGAGTTACAAGAGCCACATGGTGCGGTGGTGAGCTCAGCGAACTCTGAAACCACGCAGGATCGCACAGCCAGATATCCAGCCACTCCGCTAGTCAGTCGCCTTGTCAGCTAGTCATCTACCTAAGCTAAGGTCCGGAACCTTGGGATCTTTTTTTTAAACCACACCTTGACTTTTGAGTGTTATGCAAGCGATCTAAGGCTTCCTTCTTTCACCTGCGAAATATTTCACGCATTCGATCAATTCTCTCAATGCGATTCCTTTTTTTTATCAAGAATGTATTACTGCAATGCCTTGTTTAGTGGTACAACAGGGAATGTTTTAAATCGGTTACAGCTTGTCCAATACTCTGGTGCCCAGGGTTTGTGTGGAGTGAGCAAATGTGAGCACATCACACGTATTCTCTGTTCCCTGCATTGGCTTTCAGTAAAATACAGGATCGAATTTAAAGTTCTTGTATTGACTTTCAAGGCCCTGAAGGGGTTAGCTCCATTATATCTCAGCGATCTGCTGAAACCGTTTGCCCCTGTACGGCAACTTCGATCAACAAAATCTGGGTGTACCTCGGACAAATCTGCATTCAGTGGGTGAAAGAGCGTTCAGTAGTCAGGCACCTTGTTTGTGGAATGCCTTGTCCCAGACTGTTAGGGACACTCTGTCAGTGAATATTTTTAGGGCTCGTCATTTATTTTATCTTGCGTATCCGTCTGTGTAGGGGTGTTTGCCTCTTGGTTGTAATGTTAAGGATTTTTACTGAGAACCTGTTGTAAAGGGCTGTGAGGCCTTGTGTGAATGGCACTATAATAAACTGAGTTTTAATTACTAACTACCAAGCCACTTAGCCATTGAGCTAGTCAGCCGGTTACCTAGTCACCAGCTTAACCAACCAGCCATTATCGACCTAGTCAGTCACCTAGTCAGCTTGTCACTTGCCTAACCACCCGGCCACTCAGCTAGTCACCCAATCACCTAGTCATCTGCCTAACCACCCAGTCACTGAGACACCTTTATAGTCAGCGAGTCATATTGTCAACTTATCGCCTTCCAAACCACCCATCCACTGAGCCACCTTACCACACATCTCGTCACCCAGCGAAAAGTATGTATTGTACTGTATTGACAATAAATCAATCAATGCTTTATTGACATTTTACAAAAAAAACGATTTCCCTTTGCCTATCATGAACACATAAACGTCGTACGTTGGTGTTAAGTGTAGTCATGGCCAAGTCTTAAACCACCAGTGAAGAGTTTTATATTGGTCAGAATGTGATCAATAGATTGGCCACGTGTAAATGATAATAATAATACCTGTAAAAACGTGACGCTTGTAAGGAGGGTGGTAGTTCAGGGTTAATGACAATAATTTTGGCATAAAACTACCGCGTGGCCGAACCACAAGAAAACACATGTGGATCAACAGCGTATTTGGCGAGGAAACCCTACGTTTAAAGTTAACACGTAAGCAATTAGTATGCTTTATGTTTACAGCTTCATGCGCCTTTATACAGTCATTGAATTGCACGTGCTCACAAATGGGGCACGGTTTACCTCAGCCCCTTCACTTCCTTGGGAATCTCCGTCTGGCTCTGCAACGAAACAATCAACTGAGTTGTGTTGCGCCATATTACAACGGGACAGGGTTATTATCCGAGACGAAGTCAATTATTCCGTGATACAGCGTTGACTGTGCAAACAGCACAAAACCACAACGCGTTCCTCAACAACAACCCCGTTTTAAATTGAAAAATATATGAAATACTGTATCATCATCATCATCTTCATCACGATCCATGGGCAGATAGCCCGTCTGTGTCCACTGCACGTGTCGTCATTTGTTTCCACTTTCC